GGTAACGCCTGCGCCGGCCGCTCCCTGTCCTCTCTTCCACGCTGATGTGCCCCGGTACCGCGCGCTGCCCGAGGGCAGAGCCCTGCCGCCCAGCCCCTGTGGTTAAGCCCAGCTCCGCGTGCCGCCTTACCTCCCCCCGCGCAGACCTCAGCTCTTCCCTTGCCTTCCGCTGCCTGTACTTTGCTGGATTTTTGGGCGGTACGAACAGCCGAAGCGGGAAGGGGCTCTTTCAGCAAACCAGCCGGTAACAGCTGGAAAAGACGGGAGCTTTCAGCTTTTCTCCAGCTCTAGAAGGTTTTTCTGTTGGCAAGCTAACCCACCACCCGGCTCTGGGGAAGAGAGGGGGTTGCGAAGGGTGATAAGGTGGTAAGGCCACCAGTTCCTGTGCAAACTGGAGAATTACAGCCTGCGGGGTGAGGGAAAGCCGAGTGCTGGGAAAACCCCACCGTCCCCTCCAACAGGCTGGAAAAGGCCGAGGTACTCGTCAGAGAGCTGTGGGCAGCAACAAAGACTTGGCAAAAGTCTCTCCAGCTGTGATAAACTGTGGACCAGGCCGAGTAGGAAGCGAACGCTCCCGTTTCCCACTTCTTCCCCCCCACAGGTACCTGGTCCTTCCTGTGGGGGACGGCAGCACCCGGCTCTCCTGCGTCAACTTTTTCCCCCCTCCTCACTCCTGGGCTTTAAGAAATGAGCCCGAGGCAATTCTGGACATTCACTTATTTCAACCTGTAATTGAGAAAGCTATTTAATAAAGTTACTTAAAGACTGAGCAGCCCTGCAGCAGCTGATGAATATGCATGTCCTGGGATTTACATTTCGTGGCAGCGTGAAGACAGGATGTCAGGCAAATGAGTTATGAGAAATGTTGCCCATGCAAATGTTCGCTCTGCCATAAATTCTCACTGCCATTCTCATCCTTGAAGCCATTTTTGTCATTCTCTTATTTGCATTGGAAATGTAGTGACAAAATAATGCAACTTTACAGAAATTAGTCCTATTTCTAGGCAGACAGGATGGATTCCTAAATACATCTGTAATAAAGTGGAGTCCTGAATTAATGCCAGACGAAAAAACCCCCAAAAAACAGAAGTCCCGCCAAGGTCGTCAGGCCATGCAATTTTGGGGTTTTCCAAAACCATGTCTCCTTCGTTTAACTTCCCAGCCCTTACCTGAGCAGGGCTTATATTAGACAAAACACCACAGATCTGCAGGAACAGAAAAGCTGCTGTCGTTCCCCCTCCGCCCCGTTTCATTTTCACAGTTCCCCGCTCTCAGAGGGGAGGCTGGGAGCCCAGACCAGGACAGCCCGAGAGCTGCCGTTTCCCTCAAGCGAGACTAGGAGACCCCTTGGCTCAGAATGTGAGAACGTCAGTAAAACGGACTAAGCAGCCAACGCTCCGGCTCCTCGCAGGTCAGGAAGCGGCCGCGTAACTGCAAGAGGTTAAGCGAGCAAGGCAGAAGCCAGCACGCCGGCTCACCCGCTGCGGCTGGGCTCCAGGTCACCGGCGTCCTTCTCCGCGCCGGCGTTCCCAGCGGTCTGTCGCTCCCAAGCCGAGTGTGGCCAGCCCCCAGCCGTGCCCAAAAGGATCGCCGGGTTTTGAAAAGCCTCTGCTGCAGGTGCCTCAGGCGGGAAGATTTTCGGATGCCCTCTGCTACGCAGGCTCCCGAGCGGCAAACTCCGTCCCGGAGGAGCTGGGGCACAAGGCGCCGGCGCCCCTTCGGCAGAGTGACGCCCCTCGGGAGAGGAGCCAGCCGCTCCGTGAGCTTGCGGGCAAACCGCCGCGTGGCCTACGGGCTTTACGAGCTGCTCGTTAGGGATGCCTCTCCAAACGAGCTGCTGCGCGATGGCAGAGCCCACGGCAGCTGACAAAGACCCCCTCTGCCGTCAGGAAGACGGGGTCAGAGTGACATAGTATGTCATTTATGTCTGTTTTAAAAGCTCCCTCGCTTCCACGCCACGGAGGATCTTCAGAAGAGCCGCAGGCCACAGTCGGCACCGGTTTTACTTGGTGCTCTCTGATCTGTTTACAGTCCGACTTTAAAAGTATGAGATGAGGTTGTACCTTCGCATGTAAACGCTCCGAAGCGGGCTGCTGGTCTCAAGTTCAGCCAGCAGTCCCCTGCGTCCTCCGGTCCGTAACCACCACCGTCATGCAGGATTAGGTATTTGAAGTTAGACCACCTAAATTTTAAATTTTTAGCAGCTTCAGAAGAGGTTTTCAGGTGGAGCCCGTAACATTCGTATTTTCCCCGCAGCACTTTACCGCGTTTCCCCATTTCCCCAATTTCAACGCGCAAACTACCTCGGTTTCCTCCTGGTCCAAAGCAGCACAATTTGCAAGGTTTAATGGCTGCTATAAAAACGTGCCCGTAAACAATGCTCTCCTGTAAGCGTGCATGACCGTTACAACCCGGCGAGACGAAGATTTCTTAGGGTTCCTTCAGTGCATCCGCGCTTTCAGAGTAAAGCGTATCAGTTATAAAAAACCACGAGAGTCTCAAGGCAGCAAAAAGCCGCATTTTCCCCAACATATGCCCGTACCTGAAAGGTTCTGGGAGCGCCAGGAATACCTCCCCCAAAGACGGGGGTGTCCGTGTTAGTGCGGTGACCACTGGATGTCACCATTGCTTTAACCACGGCCATCGAGGCAGCCTTGCGCCGGCAGCGGGTTGGAAAGTCACCCCGTGGACACGTTCCGCGTCGGCGTGGACCCCCAGGACGTCAGAAAGACATTTACAGCAACTTGTTTTCACTACACGGAAGTTTATTAAGAAAGTTAAACATACAACACAAAAAGTAGCAAAAGCAATCCTGTAGCTTAAGGCAACTCTTACAGGAGATGAATTCAAGAAAGATGATGCAACTTCAGTTTAAATAGAAATTATGAAAAATATCAAATTGCATCAATAACTTAAAATGCACTTTAAAAAGTCTGCACTAACCAGCAGAGGGTAAGGGGTGTGATCTTAATGCCAGCATTAAGATATCGAAAGCAGCAGAATGCTAAATGATGATAGGGAAAGTTCAGTATTTACACAAAGATAGCAGTGTTAATATCCGATAGCGTAATTTCCTGTGTACTTATGGTTTAAAACCACTGTCTGAAACGTTAGGAAAACCTTTTAAAATAAACCTTCAGACTATTCCATCAAAAATACACAGATGGCAAGAGAAGATCCAAGGCTAGGGATGCGTGCAGATGCATGCGTGTGTCCCTTAAATAACTCATTGCAGAAACACTTCAGAAAAATTATTTCTTTGGGGGAAGAAGAGCAAGAAGAATATGTGGCCACAGAGTGAAAAAGGTTATCTTTCAGGTGAATCACATTTAAATTGAAGTATCAAAATATTTCTATTTGATGACATTCTCACAGTTTACAGTTACTGACATTTTTAAGTGAATGTTAAATATTCGTATTATCAACATACAAAGATTCTCCTTCACATTGACATCTGCTTACATTTTTGCAAGACCTCTTTTGCATCAATTGTTTTGCCATCGATGAGGAATGTAATTATCTCAATTACAGAATTTAACAGAGATTTAACTGTTCTAACCATACAGTTTCTACCTTCAAAATAATTCTTCAAATACTGAAGTCAGATCACCTATTTTAACAAGGTATTTAAGTGACATTTTAATTAATCGGGCTGTACAGGAAGCACACATTTTAAACAAAGCCAAATGACATCAGATTTCCAAATCAATTCTCTTCCAATATTGGATGCAATGAAAAATTTTGAACAAGTCCATTCACCATCACCCCAAATAAAACAAGATAACTCACACGGATTAACTCCTCCCAAATCCTACCCTGTTAGAAAATGCAATATATACTGCAATGTAGTCTTAATTTGCATAAGATTTAATAGAAGTGTCCTATGCGCAGTATGAGATTTTCTGCACACAACCTCATCTCAACTTTTCACCATTCAGCACAAACTTTACAAAAAGCCTAAGATATAAAATACACTTAAAGCAGCTATCTTAAACAGGATTTAATACATATCACCTTGGCAGCTGATCACTTTTGTTCCCAGTTTAACACGCTGTTGAATCTGATTGTAGAGTTGCAGTATCCCTTTGAAGAACTATTTAAAAAAATCCCTGAATAAAACAGAAGCCAGCCTGCGACTTCCTATGAGTTTCAGTAAAGTACTATATACAGGGGTATAACAGCCACCCAAACTCACTTGGTGCAGAAAAAAAATCTAAGACAGATACTGGGGCAGAACGCATTAACGCATAAAATACGCGTTTTAAGATTTTGTCATTTAGAAAGTGGAACCAATGAATTCTTAGCAGTTTAAAAGAATACTGCAACCGTAACGTTTACAGACCCACAAAGTTTGAAAACCGATTCCAACAGCTCTGATTCACTGGGTTTTGCTTGGAAATAATGCAAAATAATGTCAGCAGTTTCAAGAAGGTCTTGCAAATGTATAAAAAAAGAAAACTGAAAGAAAGATAAGAATGCATATCTAAAATAAAGCAGGAGCACAATAAGGACAATCAAAATTCCAAAAGCCCATATTAAAAAAATTAAGCTTGGAATGCATTGGCTTCCAGCAGTTTACCAAAAAAAAAAAAAACCAAACCCAAAAAAGAAGTTTTAAATCTGTAATATCTTGACCTATTTTTAAGTGACAATTTCTATTACAGTTGAGAAAAATGATTTTATAGCTGCATAAGTTTCCATTTCACTAAAATAGTGCCAACAAAAATAAGTTTGCATAGAAAAACAAAATTTCAAATTGCCACTGGCTACATGCTTAAAATGGGAAATGCAGGTATTGTAACATAAACATAGTGCAAACCATGGCAGTTCATGGTGATTTTGACTGCCGCAGGTCAGGAAACAGACCATAGTATACCCAGTTATCACAGTTTCTGGTCTTTTATTAAATCCTTTGCCAAGTAGAAGCAATGCATGTGTGCAGGCCCATGGTACGCCTGCTGCTGTTGATTAACGTAGTTTGAGATCATCGCCACTTCCTAGGTTAGATCCAGGACTAGGGTCTTGTTGTCTTCTTGCCTGCGTCAATAAACACACATTTAGGATCAAAAAAAGAAATTATTTAGACATCATCAGTTTAGTTAACTTCTTCAGTAGATTAACATGACTAAGACCATAACCAATTCTAAGGCGGAGACTTTACATTTCCACCACTAAGCAATGCACTCCTCCTTAACATGAAAATCATGCTTTCCCCCTCAGTTCGGTGATCGCCCAGAACGACCAGAGATCTCAGAGGAGGGCTGTGGACCCAGCAGTCGGGCACCGTCCCCGCTCTGGAGGGGCCCTCCCACAGCCCTGCCGAACCGCTTCTCAACGTCACTTCAACAACCGGCAAGAGACGTCCAGAATAGTTAGGCAATGATTGTGTGTCCCTTCCTCCGAAACACTTTTCTTCTCCTGTGAAATTCCCTCCTGTAAACCTTTTCTGTAAATGTTTCCAGGATCAAGATTTTGGGGAGAAAGTCTACGATGCAAGATGGCAGGGTACATTACATCATTTCCAAACAAATCTCCCCTCAGTATTTTTACGTGGGAAACATTTACTTCAGCTTTTTCTGGAATAAAGAGATTTATAACACGATAACACACTTGGTGCAATTTAATCTGTAGATTGACACACATTTTAACACATCTTAGAAGTTGGGGGTTTACTGCAGCACACTTATTTTTTTCCCCCCTCCGGTGCACCTGTAAATTTATCAATAATACAAAACATAGAAAACTCTGGTACTTACGATCACGCCCCTGTATTAAAAAAAAAGTAACCTCAGTTCTCCTTTAAGTAAATGATTCTGTTAAACAGTCCAGGTTGATGGCATTTTAAAGAGGAAATTAAGGATGGGCAGTCATAGTAACGTCAGTCACAAAAAGACACCGCGCTCTACTTTCTCTACCTGTACACATGCGGGCTGCTTTCAAGTAGCACACACAAATGCGGCAGGTAAATACTGAAAAGCATTGATATACTTTAAAGCAATGCTTCGATTCTGGGAACATCTAATATATGCTAGCTGTTTTTTAAAGACATTTTAGTATCGATACTTTTATTTTACATTTACAGCTGGCACCTTGGCCCGTAACTACCACGCGACCCAAACCGGTATCAGGGCCAGGTTCTCGGCTGGTGGCAGGCATCACGGCACAAGCGTTATTTGGTGTAGCTCCGCTACTTGCACCGGCTGCAATAACCTGCCACGTTCAGTGCTTCAAAAAAAGCGCCCTCCAAAAAACGCAAAAGCAGTGACCGCTTCCCTCCTTTGAAGGGCTTCTCGTGTTTTGTGGAAAGAGGCAGGCACAGACGTGATGCAGGCAGCTGTGCCGCTGGAATGGGCAGTTTAAGCAATTACCGCGTTTAGACGATCACACTGACCACGACGAGTACTTCAACTAGACCGTGACGAGCGGCGACACGAGTGCTGCTCTGGGGCGTTCCCTGGGCTCTTCTGAGTCACATTTACTGACACGGAGGAAGCCTTCCCGCCAGCGCGGCGGTTACCCCGCTGACGGCGCGCTGCTTGCGCGCTCCCATACAAAACAGCGAGCGAGCCGAGCCTGTCAACTCTCAACCCTCCCCACAGGCACTGCCAACACCATCTTCTCCAATTTAGACTTTTCTTTCTCCATTCAGTTCTTCCTCCCTCATCTACCATTCTTCTTCTGTGCCCAATTTTTATGCTCCCAGTGCAACTGGTCAGCATCACCCCAACAGAGAGCTGTTGCTTCCTTCTCCTATTTAAATATCGATTTAAAGTTACGCCTTCCTTTCACGCGCAACCATCCCATCCCGATGCACGCAGAGCTCATCTAATAAATCCTTCTAGTAGTCAACATGTTTCCAGAGAAGACAATTCCCTCCTGCACTTTTCTTTAGTGGTCATACTGCCATTATTGTCTTGACAACACCCTCACTATTCAAATTATCACAATTGCTACCTACTACATTTATGTATCCAGTACTGTTGGTGGTGGCATTTTAGGTATTTAGGGGCGAGATGATCTGCCTCCTCTCTTCTGTCTGCACTGGTCATGTTCCGACTGAAGGAAACAATCTGCTTTTCCTACGTGCAGAAGAGCTCTCAACATGACAACCGACATCACTGCCGGCGCACAAACCCACAGATTTCTCAGTAATCTTTCTGAGGAATCGCGTAATCACGTGCAGCGCTGAAGATTTTCAGCGCTAAAGGGCGTATTCCTTTCAGCCGCTGAAGCAACTTTTGCAAACTGCCCTCTTTGTAGAGATGCAGAATGTTGGGAGATGGCATTTAATTAAGATTTTCACATTATTTCCAAAAGCCAAATCATTCCGCTTTGACTATCAAGATCAGTGTGCAAAAGCTAGCAAGGGAAAGCCCACACTTTTTTTTTTTTCTTCAACAGAAAAGTAAACTGTGCTGTAAAGATTTTTCTTAATACAAAATGGTTGTTCAACAAGTATTAATAGATACTTCCATGCTAATTTAACAGTTGTATTAAGATCAACAAAGGGGTAAGAGCTCCACTCTGAATACTTTTCTCCTACTGAACAGACTGTAACAGGATTTCTTCTGATTTTAACTGCTGCCTCTTTCTTCTCAAAGGAAACAAAGGCATGCACTGTCTTTTAAGAATTACCAAAACCTTATTATACCAATCTTATTACCAGTTTTGTACTCGATAAATATTTTTACACTTAACTAGAAAAAAAGGCAAGTTAATTGCTGCTATACTACTGCTCTAAAAGCAAGAGTTTCTTCTTCAGAAAACAAATCATAGGCACAGCAATTTTATTGTCAAATTTCAGTGAAGACTCCAAGGTATGGGCATATGGTTGCATTTATGCTTTGCCTAAAGTAGCCTTTTCTTTCAAAACATATGAAAGAATTCACATGATTCATGACCTCATTGCTACTTGTAGAGTTTGCAGAAGCCACTACTGAACAACTACCAGATTTGCCCTTTCAAGCGATAGGCAAAAGGCATGACAAATTACCCTCAAATGTACTGAAAGCAGTCATTACAATATCTTACACTAGTATATGTGGATAAAGGTGTAATTTTGCATTTCAGTAAGCGGGGATTTACACAAGCAACTGCAACGTGTTGGAATGACAGCTCCGTCTCACTCAGACACCCTCCTTGTGCTATACTCTTGTGCAAGAATAGGTACACGTGAATCACCCTTATTCTATCAGTCACCATCCTGCCAAGGCGCATGTGCACAGTACGTAACAACTACGACAAAGACACGTGCTGAAAAAAAAAAAAAGTAAAAGCACCACATCTATCTGTATCTAGAAAATTAAAAAAAAAAAACAAACAAAACCACTCAAAAAAGACAGGAGAAATCGCCTTGTGTGCAGACAGCATGCACACTGTACAGCATCAGGCACGGGGTGGTATTTTTGTCCAGACAATGGGCAAAATACAACTTTCGTAAGAAATGCCACAAGATCCTTAACACTCACTTGCCGAAGGAGTGTGACTACCAGTACGGTAGTATCTGGTAGTTCTCCTCAGGCTATTACAGGAAGCAGAAAGTTCCCTTTTACAGATGTAAAAACGGCAATTTGCAGAATTCTCTCAATTTGGGGTCTTGTAGTCTCAGCATAGCTGATCAATCCTCTGAATTGCAGTATTTGCTGTAATTTTTGAAATGCATACCTTATGAGGCCATGCAGAAGCATCAGAATTACTCTCGGTGAATAATGAGCTCAGCTTCTCAAAGATTAAGGAGACTTGCTTCAATTAAGAAAGATGCATCTATCTTTGCCATTGGGAAATGGAATATTCTGCCATGAGTCACGCATAATGAGTCATGAGAAAACAGTACTTATTCATCTTATCTCAGCATATTTCATTTTTCAGTCAAATGCTGATTTTAAGTTTGAAGGAGCACTACGTCCAATGTTATCCATCTGCTATTTAGTGAAAGGATCACAAATATTTGCTTGCAAGAAAAGCTTATTAGCAGTACAAAGATCCAACCACAGTTGTAATTTTCTTAAAAATTAACGTATTTTAACCAAAACTGCCAGTTTCCTTCCAAACATTCTGAAATCAAACAGTTTAATTTGATGGACACATAGGGAGTTTCAATACTCAGAAACACTTCGCACTCAGCTTTCAGCACATGCAGCCATGCAAATCTGCTGCAATACGGAAGGAATTATAACTGGCCACAAGCCATGTAAAACCTCTAACGCTGGAGACGGTACGATGACCGACTGAAAGAATTGCAGGAACGTATCTGGCAAAAAACGTTTCAAAGCCTCCTGTAACATGCTGTTCTAGCCTGATTCACGCTGAACTCATAATGCTGTTACCACAGGAGTAATAATACACCAACGAACAAGAGAAAACTTGCTAACAAAATCATTTTGACTTGAGGGTAAACAAATGCAAAAAGTATCCCCTGCCATACTCTTAACACCTATTCTCTCTTCAATCCTGTTCTCTCTGAGCTTTTCCCAAGCCTAAATATAGGCTAACTGGTATGGGCTAGAAGTCGTATCAAGAGACTGATGCAGTAATATCTGTATTATATTAATTTTCTTCTTAATAAATTACATAGCTTGAAGTCATCGAATCATTAACTTCAAACCGTGACTCTCTTGGACAAGGATCGTGTTGGAGCATTTGCAGCTGTTACTGGGGCACTTAAGTAAGAGAGATCTAAGAACGATTTTTAAGCAACTAAGGCAGGCAGCACACAGGCAGTTCCTCCAGCAGCCACGACAGTCAGACACCGTCTTCCTCCTCCTCCAGCCGCCCAAGACTGACTCATGCTGCCGTTGACCGTGCTTTCAAAAGGGCCAATAAAACTCCTCAAGCTGGCTTTGAGAAAGCATGTAACTACCCCCTTCCTCTGCACGTTCAGAGGCCTCCGACACACCTAAGGAAACCAGCTCCTTTGACCACATGAGTTCATCGGGAAAAGATAATGCAGTCCCACCGTGTGGTTTACACGATAGCTCTGAGAAAGCAGAACTGGGAAAGCTGGAGGTAAATTTAGTAAGGATGGACAGGGTTGCCAC